TCGCCCTTGGCATTAGGAAGAGCTCTCTACTCTGAGCTCCAGGAGCTGGGGGGAGAAGCGTGACGCCAGTGAGAAGCCTGGGTCTCCTCCATGCCGCTCAGCCTCCCCCCCTGTGCTCTGCAGGCTTTCACCGGGAGCCTGGAGATGATCGATGGCCGGGCCAAGTTCGAGGAGCTGTGCATCCCTATCTGTGTGATTCCAGCCACTGTGTCCAACAACGTCCCTGGCTCCGACTTCAGTATTGGTGCGGACACTGCCCTCAACACCATTACCATGGTAATGCCCTTGGCTTCTTTCCTTTGCTAAAGAAACCTCCACACTGGCCCCAGCTGATGCCAGGCTGAATGGAAAGGGGCCCAGGCAGTTCCAGCTCTGGCAGGACACCCCAAGGGCCTGTTCTTGCAGCCCGATGGGACCATGCTCTGGGTTAGCGAGGCGCAGTGGGTTTGAAGGTCTGTCCCCTCCAGTGAAGGGTTTTGTCAGGTGTTGCCGAGAGCCCTATCCCCACCCCACGACCAAGTGACTGTAGGCTAGTCGAAGTCCCGTTTCATCCTTCCCCCTTCCACAGACCTGTGATCGGATCAAGCAATCTGCAGCCGGCACCAAGCGGCGGGTCTTTATCATCGAGACCATGGGAGGTTACTGTGGCTACCTGGCCACCATGGCTGGCCTGGCCGCTGGCGCTGATGCAGCTTATATCTATGAAGATCCCTTCACTATCCGGGACTTGCAGGTGAGAATGCATCCAAGGGGAGTGGGCAGCGAGGGGCCTGGGAGCTTTCTCTGAACACCCTTCTCTGTGCTCAGCCCTGTACAAGGCAAATACATCCTGAAGGGATGGATTGGATTCACCTGGAGTCGCAGCACCCCCTGCTGGCCAGGCTTGGGTGACTAAAGGTGGGGTGTCGTGAGATCCAGGGATTTCAATCTCTCTCCCCACCTTTAGTCACTGGTCACTCCCAAGAGAAGGGCCACTGTACTGAGTGGAGTTTGCTTGCTTGGTCTCTTAACTGAAACCACTGGAGAGGGGATCTGCACTGATTTCTTACTCTGAATAGCTGCATTCTTCTTTCTGAAGAAACCCCCACCCCCTTTCCAGAGGGTCTAAGCAACCATCCACCACTTTCTCTGGTAACAGATCAACGTGGAGCACTTGACTGAGAAGATGAAGACCACGGTCAAGAGAGGCCTGGTGTTGAGGTAACCAGCTGGCGGACTGCTCTGCCTGTGGACAGGGTCTCAGGCTGTAGTGCTAGACTGAGAACCAGGTTGCTATAGAAATCTCCCTACAGGACACAACAGTAAGGAAGGAAATCCAGTCACAGTTGATCTCAAAGGCAGGCTGTTCCAAAAGGGCACAGCATCATAGTTGCTCCATCCAGTCCCACCATATCCGTGCTACTGAATTTCCTCCCGATACCCGGTTCTTCCCTATTCACCCACTACCTGTGTGTTTCTAGTGCACCCTCACTCACTGAAGTGGGGGGGGTGGGGGGGATGGTGTTTTACTTCTACAGGAACGAGAAGTGCAACGACAACTACACCACGGATTTCATCTTCAACTTGTACTCGGAGGAAGGCAAGGGCATCTTTGACTGCAGGAAGAATGTGCTGGGACACATGCAGCAGGTACAGCCGGCAATGTGGGCACGAGGTCTCCCAGTCCCAGCTTGGGCTACATGAGCAGGGTTGCTCCAATGGTGAGCAGCTGTGGGCAATGGCTGTCTTCATCCCAGTGTTCAGAGCTGAGTCTTGTCAGGTGGGACCTGTGTCTGGGGATGGTCTGGGGAGCATCTGACCTACCACAGCTGTGATCTTCCCTAGCTGTTACTTAATAAAAGGAGGGATTCTCCTCTGAGGCAGGGGGAAACATGCTCCTCTCCCACTTCAGTGCCATCTACCAGCTGCCCAATGGCATCCTCCTCTGGGGATAAGCTGCCTCCAGCACTGCCTTCTCACCGAGACAGGAGCAGGTTTTGTGAGCTCCACAGTGGAGAGAACAGCACTGGAAGGAAAGCACCTGGTGGGGTCCTGCTCAAGGGAACTGGACAGGGATCAGGGCTGCTGGGGAGGTTGTACTGTCCCCACTGCAATAGCTCCAGTCAGTGAAGGATCACAGAGCCTTTGAGAGGCAGCAAATGACACCTCTGCCTACATGAAATCACTGGCTCCCTTTTTTCCCCTCCCCCAACGGCAGGGCGGGACCCCAACACCCTTTGACAGGAACTTTGGCACTAAAATGGGCACGAAGGCCGTGGCCTGGATCACTGGGAAGATCAAGGAGTGCTCCCGGCATGGTAGGTGATGCTTCTTGGTGCAACGGTTGGTGCTCCTGGCAGACACCTGTCTGATGAACTTTGTGGGGCGGGGAGGGGTGCAAGGGCAGGTTGTTTCCCTCCTGCTGCTTGCGGGGGAGCCTGTTGCACTTGCAGTCAGTGCAGCCAGTCCCCAGAAAAAGAAATTCACCAAGCAAAGCCTCAAAAAGTGGCTAGATCTAGCACTATGATTGCCCAGTTGGCAACACTGTAGAGCTGGAGGCAAAGGTGCTTCTGCCACCTAGGGGCAGAGGTTGACCACTGCAAGCAGTCAACAATGCATCTTCCCACTGGATAAAGAATTTTTTGCACCTATTTAATCTAATAAAAGATATCACCTCTACCAAGAGTTGTGAATACTTTTGCCTGTAGACTAACACAGCTAAAACCTGTAGCCTCTTCCCACCAGAGGCATTAGGACTTAAGGCCCCCGTCTTAGGCAATGTAATTTGCTTCTCTGTGTGGGGGGATGGAAATACCGAGTGGATCTCACCGTTTTTCCTCTGCAGGGCGCATCTTTGCAAACACCGCGGATTCAGCCTGTCTCCTGGGCATGCGCCGACGGAGCCTTGTCTTCCAGCCGCTCGCTGAACTCAAAGAGCAGACAGACTTTGAGTAGGTTTTCCCATTCTTCTCCCTGCTTTCCTGGGCTGACCCACTAAGGACAGGAAATTAGTCTTGGAAAGGATACAACTCTAGGGCCAGACCTGGCGACAGGGTTAAGACAGGGCACAGCTGGACATTGGGTCAGTTTCCCTATCAGCAAAACCTTGCAGAAGAGCGTATTGCAAGGGGGATGATGAAAGTGCTGTTGCTTCAGGAACAATCTGCACATGTTCAGAGCAGCTACAGCCTGGTCAGCATGAAAAGGAGCTTTCTAAGCCAACAACCAAACATGAGCCAGGGAGTGGAGGCTGAAACCAAAGCCACCTTGCTGGACACAGGGTGCTAGTTTAATTGAGGTCCTTAGTCCACAGAACCAGGTTTCCAAGGCCTAGGCTGGACTGGCCACTGCTGTGAGTCTTTCCAGTAACATGGGGGGGTTTACTTAATGTCCTACTCTGGCATAGAGTTGGTGGTTTCATGAGCTGTTACATAGAGGTCAGACTTGATCAGAATGGTCCCTTCAAACCCTAGGAACAAATAGAAAATGAGGGTTGGAAGGGACCTCAGGAGGTCACATTGAGTCCAGTCCCCTGCTCAAAGCAAGACCAGCCCCAGCTACATCATCCCGGCAAAGGCTTTGTCTAGCTGGATCTTAAAAACCTCCAAGGATGGAGCTTCCACCACCTCTCTGGGTAACCTGTTCCAGTACTTTCCTATTCTCCTACTAAGAAAGTTTTTCGTAATATCTAACCTAACTTCCCTTGCTGCAACTTGAGACCGTTGCTCCTTGTTCTGTCATCTACCACTGCTGTGAAAAGTCCAGCTCTATCCTTTTTGTAACCACCCTTACAATCAAAACATCAATACAAATCAACACATCCCTGCCCATTCCACATTACTTCCTCTTGAGAACAGCATCTGCCACAGGCCCAGGGTCACAATCAGTGTTTCATCCATCGTGCCAATACCTCCAAGTCTTTTCCAACCGCACAAGCAATGCCAGGAATATGTCTGGCGATAAAGATTTGGGGGTCAGCAGGTCCCTTCCCAGCACGTTGATTCTTATCGTATACCGTTTCTCTCTTCCCACCAGCCATCGCCTCCCCAAAGAGCAGTGGTGGCTCAAGCTTCGTCCCATCTTGAAGATCCTGGCCAAATACAAGATTGACTTGGATACCTCAGAGAAAGCTCACTTGGAACACATCACGCGCAAGAGAGTATCCATGGAGTCCAACATCTAAGCAGGCTGAGGGGAAGCTACACAGCAGGAACACCTGGAGATCTTGCATTTTGTTTTTCTTTCATTGCTTCAGGGACCTCTGAAATAAATTCTTGCTCACTTCCCCACCTCTGCAGGCAACAGCCTTGCTTATAGGTAGGAGACTGCCACAACCACGTGTGCGAAGGGAAACAACGGAGACAGCATCACACCCCAGTAGATACAGATGCCTGGATTTATTGGTTCTAGAGCAATTGTGAGACCGTTCCTGGTGCTGATTTATAGCTTCTCCTGCATGATTGAAATGGATGTCAGGCTTTTATTTTTATATATCCAAGTTAATCTTTCTAAAACACTACAAGTAATTTGTTTTACTGTTCTGAAAACACACCGTGTTTCTCAACTGCCTCCTGTTACAGCTGGAGTCTGAAGTGACACAAAAATAAATGCTACAGGTAGAATTGCTGTGGTGCCTTGTTTTAATCCAGACTAAACAGGAACCATTGGCTGATGGTTTCACATGCAGGTCTGAATGAACTCACTCTGAGATATCTAATCGATGGCAGGTGGACACCATGCTACATGTACATACCCCAGCCACCACCTGCTTATGCCCATCTAGCAGCATACAGCTAAGTACAGACCTGTTTCTGAGCTCCCACATGCACATGCACTAACAGGCTCTACCCCCAAAAGCAGGAGAGCTGGTTCTACAGTACAGCAGGAGAGCAGTAGCACAAAGGAGATCAGGCAGACTGCAGGGTAGATATGAACTGAAAAGACTAACTAACTAAGATATATGTAGAGCACAAGCTTTCATAAACTTAAGTTCATGTAATCAGATGCTGTAAAACAACAGCATAGTGTACAAAGTGAAGTGATCTGAGTACAAAAGGAAGGGAAGAAGGGGGGGTGGGGGAAGGGAAGAGGAAGAGATCAAACAGGGTCCCTGACTGCTGAAAGCAGTCTCAATCAGGGCACGTTGGGCAGGACAGCTAGACATTTTCTGCCACTGGGACAGATGGGATGCTGGACTTGACGGACCTGCAGACTGACATGGGACAGCATTTCGTGCTCTTACGATGCTGAACACTCAGCATAGATTAAGCTAATGTGGGCAAAAAATGTTCTCCTGGCTGTATAGCAAACCCCAGTTCCATAGGTGCCAAGTACCTTTGACAGGTCCTTTGCTTGATAACCATGGCTATGGACTTCTTATCCATACACAGCATGTTTGGCCAACTGAGAAGTGTTACCCCACCCCACTTCCCCCTGCCCCAACCGTAACTCAGCTGCTCCCCAAGGAGGACAAAGCTCAAAGAGCTCTTACTCCAGAGACTACTGCTGGGCTCCTGCCCAGCTTCACGAGACCTGGATGCAGAGATGGGTCCCACAGTGCCCAGCATCAGTGAGGAGGGACATTGACACAGAGTGGGGCTCACAGGATGCTCAATGCACTGACAGCTTGTGTTGAGTGATTTATTTCTGTCAACAGAAAACACAGACAGCCACGACAAATCGCTAGGGAAACCAGGAGGGGGGCCACGCTATTCTCGGCAAAGTCTGTTCATTCTTAAGAGAAGCAATTCAACTCTGTGGTTTCCTTGTGTTGGAGGGTTCTATCAGGTTGCACATTGCCACCCTCAGTTGCTGGAGACGTCCCGTTCACAATGGAGACGTGGTACCAGACAAATGGCACTGCTTGATTTCTGCCTGGCTTCCCCCAGCAAAGTGCCATGAGCACTTGTATCTGTTGCCATCCTAAGTTTGTGAAATGGGGTGTAGGACGGTGCCAAATTTCAAACCTGTTACTGTGTGAATGAGTGTTCCAGAGAGGCCCAAACTCCTGGGACGATGAGCTGTGAACCGCCCGTGCTGTTCCAGGGTGCAAATGCACCAGGCCACATTGGAACTGGTAGTGCAGAGTACCACACGCATGCACACACGTGCCCAGAAGAGGTGAGAGGTGTGTTCTTGGTGCAAACTCCAGAGAAGGTGCAAACTCTCACTGCACTTTGGCATTTCCTTCTTTCAGAAGATGGCTTGATCTGCTTGAAGCGGAGGTTCTGTGGAGCTGTTTGTTAGGGCCAAGCATGAAGAGGTGTTACTATGAGACAGTCCACGCAGAGATGCAAATATGCTTTAACCCACTCTAGTTATTTCCAAACATCCCTGTGTTGACACGATTTGTATCGATGCAAGGAGCTGACGCCCTTTCTACTGCTCGGAGCAATTATGTTCCTTCCCCCACAACCAGAGCTGATGCCTCTGGAGGATTCTGAGCAGGAAAAGCAGAGCGTGCTGGGGAGGAGAGACCAGAGTGTATGTCTGTCCTCGGCCATTTCTGCTCCCAATAGGGCGCTGGGCTGGAGCTGTGAGAGGCGGTGGTGTGGGAGACATGGTGCTGACAGCATCAAGTACGTGTGCGTGTGGGCCATGGGATAGTGTTACCTTCCCCTCACTATGCAGAACACACACGTAATACACATGCCTAGGGTGCCTGTTCCTGGTTTAGAACTAAACCATCAATGGGTCTCGCAGCAAGTTGGAGGCCTGCTCTTTGCCCAGCTGTCTCAGCTGAAACCACATGGATGCTAACTGCCCCCATACACACTTGCTACAGCGGGTCACATCAACCACCATTACCCAGGTTCTTCCCATGCTCCTTTCTTTGTTACTCCATATTGATGCCTCCAAAGGGAACAGACCCCTTTGTCTACTTGCTCGGCCAACCAGAGAAGGCCTCTCTCTAGTGAAGTCTCAAGAAGGCAGGTTAGATGCAGTGGCAGGGAAGATGAGCTATGCCACAGGAGAAGGCAGGGCCCTGGAACTGAAGAGAAACCCTGAGGGGGCAAGGACAGAACAGGCACCTGCTGGAAAAGCACAAGGGGTTTTGCCTCTTAAGACACAAACGGTACCAGACATCACGGTGGAGGTTGCCATCCCAGGCGCTGCTCTGCAGCAGGACTCAGCTGGACAAAGCAGAAGGAGCTCTAGAACTTGGAGGGGGGAACCTTGCACAGCAATTGGTCAAGAGCCTGCCCGTCAGAGCGAGGGTGAGGAACCCAGTGCGCGTGAAGTCACAGACCAAGCCACACATCTAGCTACTACCACTGTCCCTACACAGCACAGGGACTGGGGCCAGGAATCCAGGCCAGAATCCACTAGTGCTTCGCCTCTCCCTTATCTAAGGAGCAAGAGATAATCTTTCAGGGACTGGGGCAAGGGGAGCTCCTTCACGGCATCTGGCAGGAACTGCACGCCCAGGCTGCAGCGCACGGCGTAGCGAGCCAGCGTCTTTAGGGTCCCAGGGGCCGAGCAGAGCACTGTGAGCTTCTCACAGAGCTGGGGATCCCGCGTCACCTCCCGGGGCATGTTCCCATTCTTCCGTAGCTCGAAGTGCCCGACAGCTTGGTGGAGAAGGTCAAAGCAGGAGTCTTCGCGCTCAGTGCCCAGTCCCCGGACCAGCAGCGCCACCAGGCGAGAGATGGGCGTCTGCCCTTTCAAGTTTACAACCCGCACCTCAGCACCGAAGTCGAGGAGGATGCTCACACTCTCCAAGTTCCCCTTCATGGCGGCCCAGCTCAGGGGCGTGTCGTTGTTGTAGTCCCGGGCATTGACGAAGGCACCGTTCTCCAGCAGGGCACGCACACACTCGGCGTTGTTCTTGAAAGCAGCCCAGTGCAGCGGGGTGTCCTTGTTCCCATCCAGCGCGTTGGGGTTTGCACCATATTCCAGCAGGATTTCCACGCATGTGTCATCCTTCTCGGCTGCATAGTGGAGGGCCGTCCGGTTGTACCCATCAAGGGCATTGACCTGGAGGGGGAAAGAGCAACAAACCTCAGGAGGCATCAGGAAAGGGGGGGTGTCACTGACCTCCCACCAAAGTACAGCACTGTTTTACTGGGGTTGGCCCGCTCAGCTAATACAAATCTACCTGGGAGGCCAAAAGCTTCCGTCTTCTAGACGGGAAAGAAAGATGCACAAGAGCAAGGTGCTCACTCGATCTTTGTGCAAGCAACCTCAGTCTTCTACCCCCTACTGCTGGGTGCCAACAAACTCATTTGCTCATCCTTCCTCCCCAGATTGACCTGTCCACAAGACCCCGACAGCTGAAAGGCACTTTGCAAAGCAAGGAAAGCAGCCATTTCCTTATTCAGTGGTTTCTCCACCAAAACACACTGGCCAGATGGGTTCGAGGTGCACACCAGTAGTCCCATACAGACAGACACTTTTATGTGTTTTAAATCAGCATTTGTGCATCCCTTAAAGAGAGCCAGAGTCTGGCAAAACTTACAGCTTGTTGAGAATGTGACAGGCCCAGGCTGACGGCCAAAAGCACAACTCTTCCTAAGCTGCGGGGTGCTGTGCGCTTGCTGCAGCTCGCACCCAAGTGCAGCCCCAGATTCGTTTATGAGGGGGGTTTCTAATGTGTTTACCTCTGCCCCCTTCTGCAGCAGTAGTTCGATGCAGTCAGCATCAGCCACCATGCAGGCACAGTGCAGCGGCTTCAGGGTGCCATGCATGCAGTTCACGTCCGCTCCCTGAAGCGACACAGGAAACCAAGAGTGGGATTATTGAAGCCAGCTGCCCTGGGCCCCTCAATGCTGCAGCATCTGTAGCTCGCACATACCAGCTCAACGGAAGACGGTTTCGAGCCAGGAAGAAGTGCTGCCCTTTCTCAAAGGAACGTTATTAGACAGAGGTTGTCAACAGATGTTCCACAAGCAGCATATAACATTTATTCCAAAGCTGCAGGCACCAGGGCCTTCTGGTGCTGGACAAAAGAGACTAAAGAGATGCTTCCTGCCCCCAGCTGCATCTCCTCAGGATTTGGGAATCCCTGGCAGCCAATCACTTGCTACTACATTACTTGTAGCAACTTTAGCTTGTTTTTTTAGCCCCCCCCCCCACCTCGCTGCCACTGCCACCGCCTCCCACCCCCACACACACACAGTCTGACCACCTGGTCATTTAAAGGGACAACTATAGACTGCAGACATGGGCCTAGACATCAATCCTGCCCCTGAATCTACACCAGCACGAAGCCTCTGGTTCTCTGTTTTGTGACAGCTCGTCCTGTCTGTCTGAGGCTGCAGAGAGTCCCTCAGTGCCGAGTCTGAAGCTCTCTCCAGCTGCAAGACACAGCAGAGGAAGTGAAGGATTGTGGCTACTTTCAAAGGCTCTCTTAACCGCCAAGCTGATCTGCAGCACGTCTGCTGAGCTCTCATAACCTTGAAATACCTGGGGATTAAAATAGCTTGGCAGCTGCCTGGATCAGTCAAACCTAATCTAGATCCTCTGCCATGTATAACAGAGCAAGTGATCTCACCCAATGGTGAGTTCCCCACTGGCCCTTTGCAGGGGCTTGAAGAGGGCCTCAAGTTTAGTTTTCAGAACAAGAGTTTAACACTGAAGTCTGCTGGAAGAGGACTCTAAGTTTGAGGTGCCTCAGTCTGGACTGAACTGGATGACAGCCCTCTCTCTCTCCTCCCACCCCTAAAGTGGCTAATGGGAAACTCCTGCTCTTTGATCACAGCTGGAAAAATATCCCACCCTGACTCTCTGATTACTGGGTTGAGTCAACCTTGGCCCCCCTAATCCAGTTCTAAGAGTCCTCGATATCCCCCAGATGTCCCCACGCACTGAACTTCTGCAGCAGCTCAAACCAACAAAAACCTCAGGATTTTAATTGCATTCACCAGCATAGACAATAGGAAAACTAAATTTATTGGATTATTTAAAATGCTTCCTTTTTTTTTTTTTTGTTATTTAATTATTTTAAATCAGCTAATGCGTAGGTCTGGAGTGTTTGTATGTGGGGGCAGAAATTTCAGGACAGCCTTTAGTACTGACAATACAGTCAGTTGGGCAACAGGCTGCAGGGCTGTTTTTTAAAATGTTGTTGGAGAGCTAAGAGTTTCACAGAGACAAGGATTAAAACAATAGGGAATTTTATTGCGGAGAAAGGCAGCTTTGTGTGGCTCCTGCAGCAGATGTGAGCAGGAAATATGTGTAAAGCCATAGGGCCAGTTTTCAGCACTATTAAAAGCTCAAACTAGCCAAATGTTGAGGCTTTGGACTATTTCAAGAGTTTTTGCCCCTCCTCCACCAGCTTTCCCTTGAAAACGAGACGGTCAGGGGAAGATAGGAAAAAGTTTTGGTAATGGGTCCAACAGCTGAAGAGAATGACTTTAGG